GAACATCGTTGAATTTTAATTTGATGTTTCCCGACGAACTGCTGACTGCTGTAACAGTAGCATTCCAACTGTCTGGTAAAGATGATAAGAGAATTAAAGCTTGAACTTCATCATCAAATTCAATTTCCACTGAACTCAACTGGGTTGTGATTGTGTTGAGTTCATTTAGGTGTTGTGCCACCGATGCCCCTTCCGTCATCCGCAAATTGAATAATCGCCTCATCAAATGAACTTTGTTTGAGGCCGATGGCTTCTCATATATACTGGAGAGAGCCGTCATAAGACCCGCCGTGGTCTTTTCCTTTGCTATGTTGAAAGCAACATTGCGGGATAACGTTAGTCGGATAACTCCGAGGGCTTATCTGTCGAGAAGAGCACAGTCTTCATTCTTCATGCCCTCTGGTTGTTTTCCTGAGAGGGGTTGATATAGATTTTTCTGGTATAAAAAATCTTCAATTTGCATCTTCCAAAATCCAAAGTCCGCACCATCGAACTTTTCAATTTTCACCTTCCCTTCTTCTGCAACCATCGCTCCCACTCGAATCTGGCTTCGTTTGGATCGTTTCTAACAATTTTTGCGAACCGCCGTGTATTAGAACACCTCCGTCGACAAACTCGTATCGCCGGTCAAATTTTACTATTCACGAAATTCACTATTCATGTGAATAGTAACCCGAATAGTAACCTCGAAAAAAATTGACAAAATTCACAACCCAAAAGCTCTGATACCAGTTGTTGGGAAATAAACCAAGTACAAGTAATTTCCCTATAACCAAATTAGTGAGAATGCAAAATAAAAGCGGAAAAATAATACCCGAAATTGATAACAGAGTTCAGCCAATTGTGTTTACGTCTCCGGACTGCTGCAGATCTTTTACTAAGAGAGAAAATTTACAGGTGTTTACAAAAATACTCACTACTCACAAGAAAACTCTCTAGTATTGAGAGAAAGAAATGATTTTTGGGATGGTTTTGAAGCTAAATGAGCTAGGGTATTTATAGTTGAAACTTAAGGACTTAATCTTGTAAATACCCTAAAACCTAGGGATTAATTGTGATTATCCCATTATCATTTTTCAATAAACATCTACCAAACTTTAAAAAACTATTTTTCAAAGAAACATTTACCAAACTTTGAAAACCATTTTCAAAGAAACATTTACCAAACTTTGAAAACCATTTTTTCAAAGATGGTTACCAAACTTGAAAACCATTTTTAATACTTTCAACAACCGAAACAGGAATACGATCCTCTATTTGCTCTGAAGTCGGACTGAGTCTAAAAAGACGAGTTCATGGGAATCCCAATTTTACCCAAGATTTGAATCCGATTTAAAACGAAACCATGTCACGAGAACACAGGTTAACGGATTTTGGCCGTATCGGGTAATAGAGAATTGGTTATCGGCGGGAAGAACATAAAAGAAGAGATCGTTTCGAAGGGCTATCTTGGAGAAAGATTTAAAATTAGGATAAACTACATAAATGGTCGTTGTTGTTTGAGTAATTTTTTATTCTTTCCACTAATGTTTAAAAAAAACGATATGATCATTAATATTGATAAACTTTAAATTCTATAATTTGTAATTACCTCCATTTATATATATACACACGCACACTTAATTGGCTAAAGTAGCAAAGCTTCATCCATCTGTTCTTCAACTTTTCCTCCATTTTTGTCTATAGATTATATTACTAAATTAACCGATCAACCCGAAGTTGACATATAAATTACTACTCAGTGTATTTACAAAGGCGTTTTAGACCAGAATTACAACTTCTCCTACAACAACAGAGTAAAACAGAGGCATGCATATTATAAGACACACAGCATGTAAGATTATTATGCCAGCACTTAATTGTTTGATGACCAAATACGACACCAAATATTTTAACCGTCTTCTCCACGATACTTAACACTGCCGTCTTCTTCTTTTTTGTCCTTGTAAAACGCAACCCTGTCGCCGATACAATGCTGTTTGCTGCAGACGAACTCTAGCCATCCCTTGGTAAGAACCGGCTTCCGGTACTTTTTGTCGTTTTTTCGAGTGTAGATTCTGAACTTCCAGACATGGGGTTGCTCGTCTCGAACTTGAAAATCAACCATATGTGCATTGCCCTTTAAGGTAGGGAGGGACTGAGGGACTTGCTGGGGAGGGTCACTCGTTTATCGATCAGTCTTCTTAGACTCTTTAACACGATGGGTGCCATTGATGAAGGAGAAGGACTACTTGCTTAAGCTTCTTGATGAAGCAGAAACGAAGGGGGGGCTTAATATAGAGAAGCGAATGTCCCCAGAAATCGGGTTTATCTTCTCTTTTCGTTTCCTATTCACAAGTGACAAGTCGACATCTTAATGCGCCAAAGTTGTATATCATAGGTTCATTGAAATTTGAGAATCGATAAAGTGGTTTTATATGTAATATTTTATTCATGTGTAATTAATTCTCGAATCCGATCTTTTACTTTCATCGTAAATGCAAAGGAACAAAAATCACACGTACGAGGCAAGACAGAGCAAAAGAAATAGTAATTGGTGAGGCCAAAACATAAGCTAACAGTTTGAACATAGGCAAACATGTTCTTTTTCCAAAAGTAGAAGAAAAATGGGTGTGTCGGCTACTCGTGTGTATTTACAATGCATTTTTAGACAGAATTACAAGAGATCCTACAGAACTAGTTGAAACTAAACTCAGTAGAGGGTTTGTTTATCATCTTACAAAAAAACATCTAACAGCTTTATAAACTTCAACACAGTCGGCTTCCTCTTTCTCCATGTAAAACGCAACACTCTCATCGATCCCAGGCTGTTTGCTGCAGACGAACTCTCGCCATCCCTTGGTAAGAACCGGCTTCCGGTACTTCTTGTCCCTTTTGCGAGTGTAAATCCGGAACTTCCAAACACGGCCGCACTCGTCTCGGACATGAAAACCCACCACGTGCTTATCGCCGCTTAAAGGAGGGAAACACTCGAGGGACTTGCTCGGGAGCGTCATCCGTTTCTCGATATCTGTCTTCTTTAGACGCTTGAAGACGATTGGCGCCATTGATGAAGTGCCGAACTTTTTTATGTTTGGTAGAGAAAAAACGGGTGTGTAGATGTATATAAAGAGAGAGAAAAAGGGCCGAGCTTTCTGCGATTTTTCTTCCATGGGACGCTACTTTTTCCTGCCCAACCGTGCGATTTTCTGTTTCTTGTTGTCGATGATCGAAAGTCTGATCGTGAAGTACAAAGACGGTGAAAAGATAAATAAATGGGGGAGTGAGTCGCGCGATTTTGCTCGAGCTTCTGGTTGTGACCCGCGTTTATCTTGTTTCTTTTTCTTTTGGGCAAACTATACGTTTAGTAACTTAAATTTACTCTATCTCCTATTTCGATCATATTACTTTCAATTATTTTAATTTACACACTGAATTTTATAGATTAAAATTTTTTGTCACTCCACCGTTAAATAATTAACGGCGTTATGACATGATTATATTTTAATCAAAACGACATCATTTTAGTCTAAACTTTATTTTTTAAAGAATTCAAAACAACATCGTTTTAATGAAAGTTGTCATGCTAAAACGTAATTTAATTATTTAACTGCAAAATGAAAAATAAAATTCAATCTATAAAGCTTAGTGAGTAAAATGAAAAAATCGAAAGTACATTGACTGAAATAGGAGAGGGAGTAAAATTCAATTACCAAACATGTAATTTACCCTTTTGTTTTTGGTTTTATTAAATTAACGTCGTTCTATTATGAATAAGTTTACAATTCAATTATAATATTTTTAAAAAAATATAATTAGACCATTCTATATATGGATTGTAACAATCGTATCACTTTGTCATTAAGTGCATAGCATATATGAACTTTTTTTTAATTATAATTGGATCATTATATTTATCAATTGTAATAATTAAGTCACTTAAATGTAACTAAAAAGTTAATGTATGTCACGCTATTAACAACAAAATCGTTACAATCGACAAATGAATTGATCTCATTGTTAGACTTGAGAATTTTGAGGTGTTTGTTTGCAAATATAAAGAGAATTTTTTTCTAAGAAGACAAACAACATATCTCGAAATTAACTTTATCATATGATTGTAGAGGAAATTAAAGCATTAAAACATTGAAATTTTGGATTTTTTAATCAATTTTCAGTGGATTTCATGAAAAATGAAATCGCAAAAAAAAAAAAAACGAGAGAAATATAAATATTTGAATACCAATATTATCACAAATAATGATTAAAAATCAAAATAGTTTAGGGTCTCTCTAAAAGAAACGGAAGATAATAGCAATGTCATCACTCCATTAATGAATTAATGGCAATATTAAAAAATTATTTTAAACAATTTCAATGATAAAATTAAAACTTCTTATAATTTAGTGATCAAAACTAGATTTGACCTAAAGTTTAGGGAGTAATTTTATAGTTTAACCAAAATTTTATTTTCTAATATTTTTTATAAAAATACTCTTGGTCCTGGACCATAATTTATCCAATTCAATTCAAAATATTACACAGTTTGTTATTATATTAATTTTTAAAATTTAAAATAAACATAATTAAAACTTATGAAAATAATTCAGAATATTTAAAATTTTATTAAATAAATAAAAAATAATAATTTATATATTAAGAAATAGTTATCAAATTAAAAAAATGGTTATCAAAGTTAAAGAGCTTAATCACCCCTTAAGTGTGAGTTGATGCAAACCGAAAAGGTTCAGATTATTTTACCTTGTCGCCTCTAGCGAGACTTGGAGGTTTTGTCTTAAAAAAAATTATAATTCTTTATCTATTTTATGGAAAATTACGTATATAGTAATTTATTTACTTTTATAGTTCTATATTATTTGTTTAATTATTTTTTAAAAACTATATCAAGCGTTATATTTTAGTTTTATTTTAATCATCCACTGATAAAAAATAAACTGGATAAAATATAAATTGAATTAATAATGTAATTATTTATTTTACTTCTTAATGATAAGATTATCTTAAAATAAAATATTAAATTATTATTAATTTTTTAATACGAATGATCAGGAGAACGAAATCAGAATGTAATAATAAATATAGTTTTTTACCCCTGCTGTGAATCGAAATTTCCTTGAATCTTAACTCAGAAGTTGAACTGCTGCAATGCTTTGAATTTTCTCTCGCAATTTTTGTGTTACAGCCACCCTCACCGTCATGACCCCCGCGGCAGGACCCATAATTCGAACTTTCACTATTGGCTCCTCGATGGCGACTAGTTCAAGAGATCCACCCGCTGCCCCGACTAGGTAGGGCCTAATCTCTTCAAGTACCTGACATGATATGCAAACTCATAATAACTTCAAGTGCGTGCCAAGATACGCGATGCACAATATTTAACTCGAGTATTTAACACCGAGGATGAAACTAACAAGCTAAGGGATGCATCGTGCATACACCAAACAGTTTATGGAAAAAAGTACCGAATGGTTGTAAATAGAATGCAAAACCAGATCAAACAACCATCAAAATAATGTTATACATTGACCAGGTATTTAAAATAAATAGAATGGGTCAGAAAACTAAACAAAAAGGGAACATAATCTCTACTGTGTTACTATGTCAATGCATGACAGCAAAAACCACCTTGGCCCTAAATTTATATCATCCTCGGATATATCTGTTCTCATTGATGTACTTGAGGTTTTGATCAGCAAAAACCATTCCATGGTGCTAAAACAACATTACAGAAATGCTTTTGTACAATCATCCTAAATCCATGGCCCTTAATATAAAAGAGCTAGACCAATCTTCCAACTCTTTATATGCATCCAAATATTCAATCATCGAAATTTGTTTTTGGAAAAGGAACAAAGGCTAGATAGACAAGACTTGACTAATAAAGAAACATAAGTTGACCGCAAAATAAACTATACATGACCCAGTTACAGTCATTCAGATAAAACCATATGCCCAATGTAAGCAGTACTCAGGAGAGGTGTTAAACTTTGAGCAAGTAGCCATCAAAGGTTAGCCAGAAAATAGAAATTCAAGCTACTTTTCACCACACAAAAAAAAGGTTAGCCAGAAAATATTTTAACATCAAAGAATGGAAACAGTTGTCATCAAAGATTTGAAACAAATCTTGAGCTATGGCGCTTAAAATCCATGTCTATGTTGTCAAGGTTCATAATCATATCCCAGCTTACTGCTTCCATTGATATTGATTTAGAAGATTTCAAGAGAAAAATATTCCTTTACCATTTTGGCTTATTCTCTCATTCCCTTCTTTCCCTAGTTAGTGGAAAGTTAAAATATAAAGAGAAAAAAAAATGAGATCTCTTTATATGGTAGTGATGAAAAGAGAACAACATAAGTTTAAGAGCTAACAAGGTTAAAATGAAATTACCATCTCAATGTTCTCTTCATTCAGCTCAAGGCCAGTCTCTTCATCAGTTATTGGTTCCACAGCAACAATTTCAGGTATCTTTTCCATTAAACGTTTTTCAATACCCATCTTCATCGTCACAACAGAACTTGGGCAAGAGCCACAAGCTCCTTGGAGCTTCAACCGCACAACATTACCATCAATCTCATGCAATGCCACATTCCCCCCATCTGCAATCAGATATGGTCGAACTTCATCCAACACACTCTCTACATTCTCCGCTGTCAATGGTAACTCCAAGGCTGGATCAGGAGTTGCAACAGCCTTTACAACTGCATGAACTCAAAACAAAGCAAGCTTTTAAGATTTAGAACATGTTTAGAGATTCAACAATTCAAATGGAAATAGGAAGAATATATAAACTATCTAAATCAAAAAGGTGTTTAACCACTCAAAAACCTTGCGATGAACATGATAAACTATATATCTATCTAGAGAAAGTAATATACTCAAATTTCTTAACATAACAATCCAAGAAATTCGGAGGAAAAAGAACAAATAAAGCAATTCGCAATTAATTGTATTTTTTTAAAATTAAAAAATGAAAAATAATAAGAGCCAGCTCCTACTATCCTAAATAGGTGCAGAGAGCTAAGATTTCAACATTCAAGTATTTGCTATGAAATAATTTTCTCTATAAGCCAAAAAAAAAAAGCAGCAGATTCCAAAAAAACCCTAAAATTATAACAATCAAATCGGAACGAACAAAACCGACCTTGCCTACGCCATAAGCAGCGCTGCTCAGGATTACGCCCTTTCGCGAGCAAGAAGCGGACGCCAAAGAAGTTAGATGGCTGGGAAAATCAGAAAATCGCATTAAAAATCCGCAAAAATCGAATTAAACTTCCAGAAAATAAACGAAGTAGAGAGAAATGAACCTTAACGGTTATGGGACGAGAAGATGAGGGTTCTGGGGATTGATGGGGCTTGCAGCAAAATGTAGGGCTAATAACTACGGCTTGCATCTCCAAATCAAATATGATTTTGATTTGGAATAGTGGAATAATAGATTTGAGATTAATAACTCTTCTTCTTGCTAAGGCTTCAAAGATTATCGAATTTCTGTATGGAATTCTATTTCCCAGTTTCCGCCCATGAGACGGCGTATGTATTTATGTGGTTAATGGTGATTGTGGCAGAAATCCCCGAAACGCAAACCGACAAGAGCCGCGAGTAGTTATTAACTACTAAGCATCTAGCTCAAAATTTGTCTTTAAACATTTATCAAATTTACTCTTTTAAAAAATCATTTATTAAAGTTATTAATAATTAGAATATTTTAGAATTTATAAAAAGTAAAATATTCATTCAGAATATTGTCTGCAATAACCCCAATAGAGGGATTGTCTGCAATAATTTGGTATCTTGCTTAGACCAACAACCCCGTTACATGTTCACAGAATGTAAGATTATCAGCGGTAATAAGATTACCGACGAGAATAAAATTACTAAAAATATTGTATTTTGTGTTTGGTTCATTTAGCAAGAATGTAATATTATCGTGTTTGGTTAAAGGAATAAAAGATTATTAGAATGTATATTTTACCAAATTGTCCTTATTATATATTTGTTTTTTTAACAAGTTGAATTCTACTATAATATTACTATAATTAATTTATATATTTTCTTTAAAAATTTTAAAAATTTTAAATTCATAAAATTTATATATATTTTTTTATAAAATTGAAAAGATAAATAAGTTTAATGAAAGGGTAATATTTTATTTTAACTCCTGAACTTCATATAAATTATAATTATGGATTTTTTTGTAAATCTAAAATAGTTTAAGGATACATTTGTAATTTAACATTTGTATAATTTTTTTAATCAACAACAGAATAAAGATATTTTTGAAAAAATATTAAGGGTATTTTAGTCCAAAACGCCTGGAATGTAACAATACCTAAAGGAAGAGGGTATTTACATTCCCGATAATATACCCCAAAATACACTGTTGGGAATAACTTATTACTGGGGGCTGGGAATATTTGCCAGCCAAATGGGGGAATGAAATGTCATTCCTTCGATAATGTGAGATACCATGAACCAAACACCTCCTAAAGGTTTGTTGGGACCTCTTTTTATCACATTCACCTAGTGACGGGTTCAGTTCTCAAATTCTAGGAGTTTCGATTCGATTTAGTCTTATCGGGTTAGAATCTTTAAAAAATATTGCATTGGATCGAGTTCGAATTTAAAATAAAAAATATCGGATCGAATCTGGCCCAAAAAATTATCTTATATATTTAGGGATAATTACAATAATAACTCTTTATATATTATATTGTCAATTAAATCTTGTTTTTACTAAATACAAATAATATTTTTTATAAATATTTTTATTTTTGACCGAGTTCAAACTTTATCTCAAAAAACCAGATCAAGTTCAATCGTACTAAATCACCCCTAAACTCAAATTAAATCAAATTCAAGTAGAATATTTATAATTTCAGGCTGAATCAGATTCATGGAAAACCCGAACCAACCCATCCATACCTATCCCTACATCCACCGTGCCCAAGAGTATGCTTAAATTCTGAAATATCTATAGCATAGGGCATGCATATTTCACTTAAATAAGCATATAGTTTTTCATTAATCTAAAATGACTATAAATTGTAGTATTTGAATAAAAAAATTCATTATTAAATAATAAATATTTAAATATCATGTGATAGTTGTTTTCTCATCAATGGCAAAACTTTCGAGATAATGTTCTGGAAAAAATTAATTTACGAGATAATGCACTCCCCAGATTAATTGCTTAAATAAGGTGAAATTCATCGTAGGTCGCCATGCCTTCCGGGCGACATACTAGGTCGCCATGTTTTCCCGGCGACCTACTAGGTCGCCATGTCTTCCCGGCGAGCTACAAGAGATTGCATGTGTCATGCACGTCCCAACACGCTAGGCATCCGAGGCCATCCGACCGAGACCATCCGAACGAGCTATGCGAGAGAATCCGAGGGCAGCCGAGCGAGCAATGGTAGGTCGCCCGGAGTGCATGGCGACCTACAAGGTCGCCCAGAGAGCATGTCGACCTACAAGGTCGCCCGGAGGGCATGACGACCTATGTGTTGGGACGTGCATGTCACATGCAACACGTTCATTCTCTTGAGCAAGGGTAGGTCACCCGGAGTGCATGACGACCTACAAGGTCGCCCGGAAGGCATGGCGATCTACGACCAACACTGTGGATTTCACCCTATTTGAACAATTAATCTTGGGAGTACATTAGCTCGTAAATTAATTTCTTCCAGAATATTATCTCGAAAGTTTTGCCCTCATCAATCGTATTTTAAACATTTAATATTATTTTATCATTACTTCACATGACATATACTTATTTTATACACTTATTAGTATGACGTAAGCTTTTTGATACATTTATATATTAATTTTTCGACCCCCTCGTGAAACATCGACGCGTAGAAACAAACAACACCGGATAAATTATAATTTTGTTCAATTTCACATTTGACATCTCTTCAATGGATAACAATGTACATTTAGGGGCCGTTCGGTTCGATTTTTTACTAAAAATTGAACCGAATCGAAATAAATAGTTTTTTAAAATTTAAATCGAATGGTTAAAAAACTGAATTATGTGAAATCAATTTTTTTGGTTTGGTTCGGTTCGTCGGTTTTTCAATGAAAAATTCACTTGAAACTATAAATTCAAAAAAAATTATTTATTCGGTTCAATATGAAAAAAGTGAGTTCTATATGAAAAACCCGAACCGAATCAATAGAATTAATTTTTTAAATAAACCCAAATCAAACCGAACCATTTTACTCAATTAATATCGATTTTTCGGTTTTCTCAATTTTATTCCTCAGCACTATGTACAACATTAAATGATCAAACAATTAAACATGGTGAACTTCTTAAATTACATTGCACAAATACAAAACACCCTCAAAATATATTACATTTACACATTAACTCCCTCAAGTCTTACTTTTATAGTAGGATACCGGAAAATAACAAATAAAACAAAACACTTTATGAGATCAATCAATATTTGAAAATAATAATTAAAGGGTAAATTATGGATTTAGTCACTCAATTATTCGCAAGGTTCTATTTTGGTCATTAAACTATTTTTTCCTTCAAATCATACCTAACACTACAAGTTAATTTCATTTTAGTCACTACATAAAAAAATTAACAGAATTACTGATGTGATATTTTTTACAATAAAAACATAACATTGTTTTATGATGACTATCAGTTAAACATAACATTGTTTTATGATGACTATTAGTATCACTAACGATATCATGTCAATAAATAATTTGATGACTAAATACATAATTTTCTTAAATTACCGTATTTAAGAATACATTTTCACGAGGCATAAAGAGGATTATGAAGATTAGCCGGCGACCCTTTCTTCTTGAAAATCCAATCACCAACCAAAGGAACAATGGGCTTCTTCTTCATCATCATCAACTTCCTCTCTATTTTGCCTCCAAAACACCCTTCTTTCTCATCTATACTCAGTATCTGAGACAAATTCGGGTTATTTTCCATTCGTTTCATCTCCAAACTCCCCGTCGTCGGCGTCGTCTCCGCTGCCTCAGCTACATCCAGCATAGACATGTTCTTATGGAGTTGAGCGTTCAATGAAGCCAACGCAATCTATGTTCCGGATTCTCTTTCCTTCAACAAATTTAGCTCCGCCTTTGTTTCCTCCAGCTCGGTCTCGAGCTTCTTTAAGTTATCGACAACCTCTTGATGATGATGGGTTTTCTCTTGTTCCTCATCTTCTTCTCGGCTTAGAGGAGTACTGGGTGAAAACCAAGTGATCTCTCGGGTTGGAGGGCGGCTGTAAGTGTAAGGCTTTGGGGCGTATATCTCTCTGACAAGAAGCCGCTCGCCGAAGACGGCGACGGCTTCTTTGACGGAGCGGAAAGGGCGGGAAGTGTCGACGTTGGAGCTATAGTCATTGGGTGGCATTGTAGGTGGAACCGGGACTTGGGTTTCCATGGAAAAAGCTTGAGATCAAACGATAAATTGTGTGTTTTTGTAGTGAAAAACTGCTTCGAGTCTGAGATTTCTTTGCTTTTACTACAGAAGATTACAGAGAGAGAACGATTGTTGTTTGAAGGTTAAGCCCTGATCGGAGCAGATGAAATGAAAAGTAAATATTCATCTGAAAGTTAAAACTAATAAATTTTCAGCTAAACAACATAGAGTTCTTCACAAGTGATACAGATAGGAAGGAAAAATAGAAGCACTACCTCTTCCAAGGAAAAAAATCAAAATAAAATGTAAATTCCAATCCTTAATTACATTCGTTATGCTCATAAACATAATCAGAACAATTCATATACCAGAATATTGGCACCAATACTAGTTCCAACAGCAAATAGAGGAGTTTCTGGATATTCACAGCGTATATGGTCAATGATTTTCCGTACATCTTGTTGGTAATGCTCAATCCCACATAGTGTTGGAAACACTATTGGGAATGGTATTTAAGGCTTGACATTCTACTTCCTTGTTGAGTGATAGAGAACAAGGGGGGCTCTCGCGCACCGCCGCCGCCGTCCGTCCGTCTCGGCTCGGCTCGGCACGGCACGGCTCGTGGTCGTGGTCGTGGTCGTGGTCGTGGTCGTGGTCGTGGTCGTGGTCGTGGTAATGGTAATGGTAATGGTAATACGTGTCTTCGACACGTCCGCGCGGATACTATCTTTTTAGAGAAAATTCTTGAGGAATTTCTCTTTGAAAGAAACAAATGGAAAATGTGAAAGATATCAACTGATATTTATAGGCTGCTGAGGACTGTTTGAATTTCAAATAATAACAGCTGAATTATTTTTTATCAGAAATTAAACAGTTTATTCCTAAATTAAATCAGAAACGTTAAGATGTACCTAGACTGATTTACAGCTTTGTACAGAGGAGACAAGCTGTTAATATCAGGAGTTACAGGAGTTATTTGATTTAATTCCAGGGGTTACATGATATAATTTCGGGAGTTATAACAGCTGAATAATGATACAATGAACCTGGACTATTTCTGAGTCAGGTTCATCTAGTCGTTTCAGCTGTTACTAATAAGAGGTTTAATCCTGAAATTTTATGGACGATTTTAACCCTATTTCTAGCCTATAAATAGAGAGCTATATTCAGCTTCTCAACTCACTCCAAAACATTCACAATTCACTTACCAAAGTGTTTTCTAAAGTTCTCTCTGTGAGTTCTCTCTGAGTGCTTTCCGATCAGAAGTGCAATACCACCAGCAGTCCACTCCGGTTTCGGGTGTACGGAATTCGGAGCGACCGTGTTAACCTCGGGGGACGGTCCGCCTACTGCAGCGATTACACACATCGAGGCGAATTCGTTTCTAAGGCAGTGGTTCTTACCACGACACGGTTTACGAATATGTTCTTCTTAATTACTGTTATATTTTCAGTCAGTGCTAACGGTGTACTTTTGCAGTTCATATATCCAACAATTTAGAAACGAATTTCCATAAACTGCAATTATGTCGACACCTTTGAGCAAACTCATTCCCGATCTTTCCAAGCTCGATGCACTTGATGGAAAGAACTATAGAAGGTGGTCCCAAGAATTCTTATATTCTTCGAGCAACTTGATCTTGATTACGTGTTGCTCAAGCCACCACCTACCATGCCGCCAACCCCAGCTGTTGTTAATGATGCGGATGCGGTCCTCAATGATGATGCCTTAGCAACTGCCGCCGCCGCTCTCGCTACCTACGAGAAATTCGAGAAGGATAACAAGACGGTACGAGGACATCTGCTCAGCCACATGTCAAATAAACTATTTGATATGTTCCTTAGAGAAAAGAGTGCCAAGGCAATATGGGACACTCTCGACAAGAAGTATGGTGCGGATGATGCGGGGATCAAGAAGTACGTTGTCGGCGAATGGCTCAAATTCCATATGACAGACGACAAGCCAATAATGGATCAAGTCCATGACTATGAGAACTTAGTCGCTGACATCATCGCTGAAGGGATGCAAATGTGTGAGGTGCTACAAGCCAATGTACTCATTGAGAAACTGCCCAAGTCCTGGTCCGATTACCGTAACTCTCTTAAGCATAAGAAGAGAGACATTTCGCTTGAAGAACTTGTGGGCCATATGAAGATTGAAGAAGCCAACCGTTTAAAAGATAAGCTTACTAATTCTATGAGTAATTTATCTTTTAGAGCTAACTTGGTTGAGTCCAAATTTAAGAAGATCATGAAACGTGGGAATCAAGACAAAAAGACGAAACCACAGAAGGCTACCAACTTCAAGAAGTCAGGAAAGGCCAAACCGGAAGGAAAGACGTTCAAGTGTTATGTCTGCGGTTTACCTGGCCACAAGGCTTACCAATGCCAACACCGCTCAGACCGCCAGAATGACAACAAGCCACAGATGCACGTTGTAGAAGAAGATGATGAGATCATTGCTGCGGTGGTCTCATAAGTTAATCTGGTGGAGAACAGTCAGAATGGGTAGTTGACACTGGCGCTTCGAAGCATTTCTGCGCAAGGAAGGAGTTTTTCACTGAGTTCGAGGATGGAAACACTGGTGAATGTGTGTACATGGGGAACTCTAGCAGCTCTGAAGTGCTAGGCAAAGGCAAGGTTTTACTCAACTGACTTCTGGTAAAACTCTGGCTTTAAATAATGTTCTGTATGTACCTGCCTTGCGTAGAAATTTGATAAGTGGTGGGCTTCTGAATAAGGCAGGCATTAAGTTAGTTTTTGAGGCAGATAAACTTGTACTTTCCCGAAATGGTGATTATGTGGGGAAAGGGTTTTTAAGCAATGGTTTATTTGTCATAGAAACTCAATTTAATGAAAATAAAGCTACCACTTCTGCTTATATTGTTGAATCCATTGATATGTGGCATGCTAGATTAGGACACGTGAATATTCATGCTTTAAAGAAATTAATGAATATGAATGTTCTGCCTAAACTAGACACAACTAGCTTTAACAAATGTGAGATTTGTGTAGAAGCTAAGCATACTAAACCTCACTTTAAGACTGTTTCTAATAGAAAGACTGAACTGTTAGAACTCATTCATACTGATCTAGCAGATTTTAGAAACACTGAAAGTAAAGGAGGAAAACACTACTACATAACTTTTGTAGATGATTATTCAAGATATACAAAAGTTTATCTCCTAAGAACTAAAGATGAAGCTGAAAACTTCTTTCTTATTTATAAGGCAGAAGTTGAAAATCAGTTAGATAGGAGAATCAAACGAGTTAGATCTGATAGAGGTGGTGAATATGGATCTAATTTCTTAAAAGATATTTGTGAAAAGAATGGCATAATTCATGAAACATCAGCCCCCTATTTCCTCAACAGAATGGTATAGCCGAAAGGAAAATAGAACTTTAAAAGAGATGATGAATTCTTTACTAATAAGTTCCGGGTTATCTGATAACATGTGGGGGGAGGCCATTCTATCGGCAACTCATATCTTGAACCGAGTTCCTCATAAGAAATTAGATTCTACCCCATATGAATTGTGGAAAGGATACGCTCCTAATTTACAATACCTGAAAGTGTGGGGGTGTCTGGCTAAAGTGGGCTTGCCAGACTTTAAGAAGTCCACCATCGGACCTAAAACCGTTGATGCAGTGTTTATAGGGTATGCTACGAATAGTGCTGCATACAGATTCATGCTTTTACAAGATTATTCTATTTGTGAATCAAGAGATGCTGTTTTCTTTGAAAATACTTTTCCTTTAAAGGAACCGAGAATAAATATTGAAACACAAATAGAAATATTCCATCAACTTCTTCTAGTAAACCTGCTAGGTCTTCTGAACAAATTGATTTGAGCCTAGAAGAAGTAAAAGGCAAAGAGTTGAAACCTCTTTTGGACCAGACTTTATTACTTCCTTTATTTCTGAGATAAATGATTTAGACTTCATTTCAGATCCTATAGCTCAAATTTTTCTATTAGATGAGGATCCTAAAACTTTTGAAGAAGCTATAAGATCTATCGATGCTAGTTTTGGAAAAGCGCTGTTAATGATGAACTAGAATCGATAATGTCTAATCATACTTGGGAATTAGTTGACTTGCCTAAGGGATTCAAACCAATCTCCAACAAATGGGTCTTCCGGAAGAAACTAAGGCCAGATGGTTCGATTCAGCGATACAAGGCAAGGTTAGTCGTCAAAGGGTTCACTCAAAGGTTTGGTTTAGACTACTTTGATACATACTCTCCCGTTACAAAAATCTCAACGATTCGTGCATTATTTGCACTAGCCTCTATTCATAAGTTGCAGGTACATCAAATGGATGTTAAGACTGCTTTCTTGAATGGGGATCTAGATGAGGAGATTTACATGGAGCAGCCACTAGGTTTTGAGGCACCTGGTATGGAAGGCAAAGTTTGTAGACTCAAAAAGTCACTCTATGGACTTAAGCAGGCTCCTAAACAGTGGTATGAGAAATTTCATAAAACTATTCTTAGTTTTGGTTTTGTTGTGAATGGTTCGGATGCTTGTGTGTATTCGAAGATGTTTGAAACTGAATGTGTTATCATAAGTCTTTATGTTGACGACATGTTGATTTTCAGTTCTAACATTGAGTCCATTAACAAAGTTAAAAATTTCTTGTCCACTAAGTTTGAGATGACAGATTTGGGAGAAGTAGATGTAATCTTAGGAGTCAAAATTACCAAAACTGAGAAGGGATTTTCTTTATGTCAAGCACATTATATAGAGAAAGTGCTAAAGAAATTTGACAGTTTTGATGTCGTCCCTGTTCGAACTCCTTATGACCCTAGCATACATCTAGTTAAGAATAAAGGAAGTAGTGTTTCCCAAACTGAATATGCTAAATTAATCGGAAGTTTAATGTTCTTAATGAACTATACTCGGCCTGATATTGCTTATGCTGTGAGTAGACTAAGTAGATATACTCATAATCCGAGTGGTGAGCACTGGATTGCGCTTAAACGCTTACTGAAGTATCTTAAGGGTACTGTGAATTGGAAACTTGAGTTTGTTGGCTTTCCTGCGGTATTGGAAGGATATTGTGATGCCAATGGGTTTCTGATAATGATGAGGTAAGCTCTACGAGCGGGTATATTTTACTTTGGGTGGAGCAGCGATCTCGTGGAAATCATCAAAGCAGACTTGTATTGCTCGTTCTACCATGGAGTCAGAGTTTATAGCTCTTGACCTAGCTGGGCAAGAAGCCGAGTGGCTCAGAAGCTTGTTAGCAGATATTCCGTTGTGGGGAAGACGACTCCTCCAGTTTCATTGTTGTGTGATTCACAAGCTGCGATATGTGTGGCTAAGAACCAAGCTTACAATGGTAAGAAAGACACATTCGCATAAGACATGAATCAGTTAGACACTTGATAAAGAATGGAGTGCTCTCTTTAGAGTATGTGAAGTCGGAAAGGAACCTAGCAGATCCACTTACCAAAGG